AATTTATCTGCAGCCAAGTTCTGAAAAATTATAACTGGCCATTCAGGCTACTGAATTCTGCTTATAGGATTAATAACAATGCAAATGATCCTTTTGGCTGTTGAGTGTCTTATGTGAAATGGGGGTGGTCACCTGTTGAATTCTCCTTGGACAAGTAACCACATCACAAAATAAACCCACCACCACAACTAGCCCCAACTGATATCTTTGTTGGTGTTCTCAGCAGTGTCTCCAAGGACTGAATCTGACCTGTCCTTGCCAGGGCCGGCTCCAGGCACCAGCCCACCAAGCCTGTGCTTGGGGCGGCGCCTGGAGGGGGGCGGTGCGGCGGGGCGCTCCGGCCCGAGAGCGGGGCCCTGGCCGGGCTCGCCGCCCTCCCCCCGGCACTCTGGCCGCCGGGGGCTCTCCGCCCTCCCCCCAGCGCTCTGGCCGCCGGGGAGAGCGGAGAGCCCCGGCCGGGCTCTCCACCCTCCCCCCGGCGCTCTGGCCGGTCGGGGACTGCGGGCCCACAGCCGGGCTCGGCACCCTCCCCTGCCGCAATGGGCGGGGGTTGGCCGGTGGCTTTTTTGCCTAGGGCGGCAAAAAAGCCAGAGCCGGCCCTGGTCCTTGCATTCACAGAAGCAGGGTTTCTGCAGGGCCTGGTTCAGGCATTTGGGTGGGGGCCAAAAGGCAGTGTGTGTGTAAGCTTGCTCTGTTGTAGCCTATGCAGGCTTGCAGCACCTGTTGTGTGAATAGAAGACTGCAATCTCCTGGGCTGTCAGTCTGGAACGCTAAAGTGAAACTAAACCAATTAGCGTTACTGAGTTGTTGATTCCTCAAAAATTTGGACACATTCATTTGAAAAGATAGGTAGGAAAAAACCTGGAGTATAACACAGCTTCCTCCTAACAGGACAACCTGATTAATGTATGGGTCATCCCTCCTTAAGGTCATGTTTGAGAAAGTAGTTTGTCTGCACGTAGCATCACTTACTTCTTCCATTACAACTTCTCAATTCCCTTGACCATTACAATCTCCTCAAAACCATTAAAGCTTGGCACAGCTACAACCTTTAATATTCTTCACGCCCAGGCATTCCTAGCCTTGAAAACCTCTTCTCACTTTTAACTTAAAAAAAATAGTTAAAGCTTCCAAACACACAGTTCTGTAGTGACCCTGATGATTGGGCTTGTGTATCATTTCCCTCTGATAGATAGAATCAGAACTGTTCAACTGTTTATCGTCACCCCTGAATTGCTAACAGCTAATGGATATTTGCTTTTAGCTCAAGTTTTAGGCCTTTGGATCAGCGAGTCCAGAGTTCTATCTCCACCACTTCTGTGAAGTTCCCAATGATCACAGTGACAACTGTGGAGGCTAGTAACAACTGTAGAGTCCTAGTTGGCCACATATTTCCTACCATCATCTCTCACAAAACACATGTAGGTTTTGGTGACTTGCCCCCACTTTCAGACAACCTTTGAGGAAACTCTGTGGCCCACACTTTAAATGGGTCCAGCCACCATTTCCTTGGCCTATCATTCCTTGTCTTCCCTGCTTCTCTTTGATGTAGCCTTCTCTAGAATGACCTCCCCTTCTCATTGATAATCCATTTCCCTCTGTTTGTTGCCTTTCTCCAACAGCAGCTGCTTCTGTTGCACTGCTCATGTAATTACATCTCTGTTCATCATATCTTCCATATGTGGCAGTCAATTTCATATTTTAAAATATTTTATTAATTTCTCCTCTGCCACCTTGAGGGTTCAGCTTTTACAGCTATAACAGAGTCCACTCACCACTAGGTGCCCCCTCATAGCAAGGAGCAGCATCTCCTCTCTTTTGTAGGGCTAGCATCCCCTGCCCGCTATCACTCCAGCGCTGTGGTGGTTTCTCTACTAGTAACTCAAACTGCCAGCTAGGTCACTTTCTGAAATCCACCCCCTTCAAGGTCACAACTGTCCAAACTGAAAAGTCCCCAAAGTGTCTTAATACAAAAGAAATCTTTCTGCCCTCTCTGGGACTGTTCCTCAGCCTGTATCCCCTCACACTGGAGCCGTAGAGGAATCCAGTCCCACCCATGACTCTAGGTTCCAGTCCAGGGGCCAAACAGAACAGCTGGATCTGCACCCCTTTACCTGTGCTGCAGTTTTTCCTAGGCCACTTCCTACCACAAGGCTTCATACTTCCCCTCTGGGTCCTCCAATCTCTTCCCTGGTTAGTCAAATCTTCCCCAGACCTCCCTGCCTGGAGTCTTTTCTCTGAACTTCCTTTCCTATTCTGACTCTCCTTTCAATTTTTTCCCCAGCTGAACTCTATCAGTGCTTAAACCTGCCTCCTTTTATTCAGGAATCACCTGATTCTTCTCAGGTGGGGCCCAGCCTGTAATCAGGATTAGCTTTGCCCCAGGCTCTCCAGACCAGTGGTTCTCAACCAGGGTACGCAGAAGTCTTCCAGAGGATACATCAACTCATATAAATATTTGCCTAGTTTTACAATAGGCTACATAAAATGCACTAGTGAAGTTGGAAAACTTTCATACAATGACTTGTTTATACTGCTCTCTGTACTATACACTGAAATGTAAGTACAATATTTATATTCCAATTGATTTACTTTATAATTATATGGTAAAAATGAGAAGCAATTTTTCAGTAATAGTTTGCTGTGACACTTTTGTATTTTTATGTCTGATTTTGTAAGCAAGTAGTTTTTAAGTGAGATGAAACTTGGGAGTATGCAAGACAAATAAGACTCCTGAAAGGGGTACAGTAGCGTGGAAAGGTTGAGAGCCACTGACCTAGGCCACAGGGCAAGCTACTCTGTTATAATGGTCATAAGCTTCAACAGCGCTCACAGCAAGCTGCCCTTTGTGCCTGCCAAAGAAGCCTTTTTCATCTGTGTTCTCCATTATGGGAATTGCTGAATGTTTAATAAACAACCTCTTCCAGTTAACACTGGAACAGCGTCTCTGTTATATTAGTCAATATGACATTCAGGTGAGATTCCAGAACTCTTCAATTAATTGACTACCCCATAAAGTCAATGGAAAGACTGATGACTTCACGGGGAACTGTATCAGATCTGTAGCCTCCAAGCACAATGGCTATTAGTGCTTCTGAAGGGTTGGGTTTAAGCTGCAAAGTTTAGGTCCAGATCTGAACTCTTCCAATGTTTGGAGGTTTGCAGATTGGGAATTTTGATTTGGACTCATCTCTAGTCTAAAGGCTGGATAGATTCAGTGAAACACAATACAACCCCAAACTTCTTCTACGATTTTCAAACCAAGTTTGTCATGATCTTTTGCCTCCGCTACTCTTGATAAATGGTAAGGCTGACCAAATGTAAAGGAAAAGTCAGTTCGTGAAAATATGGAGAATATTGCACTTACCGAGTTGTGAATTTGGGGGAAGACATGATTTAGAATAGTTTTAGATCATTATTTTAACTTAAGAGGAAAAATGGTCTCCAGGATATTCCCCATGATGATTATATTTGGCAGAGAGGAAGAGAGAAAATAGGAGAAGAAGGAGGGAAGAAGAAGGTAATTGAATACAGAGGCTTTCTAACTCTAGGTCATTGGTCGAAATCTAGTTCAGCTGGTAAGTGACTGAAAGTTACTGCCACATGATGGCATCTGAAATAAGTTAGTGGATCTTGAATCCAGTTCCTAGGTGTATACCTCACATACAGAAACAAAAGCTATCACAACTGGCACTATCATCCCTGCTAGCAAATCAGGGAAGCTAAAGACTGAATAGGAAAAGAAACTGAGCTACTTGCTCAGGCCCCACTGAAGTCAATGGGAGTTTTGCCATTCTCTTTAGTGAGGTCAGAATTTCATCTATGGTCCTTGGAATTCATAGCTGAGGCAGTGTGGGGAAGGGTACACTACTGTAGTGTTCCTGAACTATGGTAGATAAACAGAGGACTTCAATCTCCAAGGTGTCAATCTGGCACTTTTCATGTGCACTGAGGTCTTTTTTTTTTTTTTTTTTTTTTAAATAATAAATAAAGTATATATAAGCAGCAAAGAGTCCTGTGGCACCTTATAGACTAACAGACGTATAGGAGCATGAGCTTTCATGGGTGAATACATGCATCCGAAGAAGTGGGTATTCACCCACGAAAGCTTATGCTCCTATACTTCTGTTAGTCTATAAGGTATCACAGGACTCTTTGCTGCTTTTAAAGATCCAGACTAACACAGCTACCCCTTGAATACTTAAAGTATATATGCTTTCTTTACATTCTGGTTTGTGCCAGTATAAAGTATATATGATTTAGATATACTTAAGCGTACACACACATGCTTACAATATAATACATACGATGTTACTGACAAACGTGTATGAAAATTGTGATAGATTCCACAGTAGATGATCTTCTGTACATAATTAATAAAAATGAGCCAAAGGCACAAAATATCCATATATTGACAATCTACTCTCTCTCTATTTTTTGTTTTAAATAAAGTTATTGCCTTGAGAACCTGGAAATATGCACAAATAGCTGACCTGAACTATTCATGGGGAAAGGGTTTAGTTCACATGAAATCTATATTTTTAGTTCACGTGAAACCTTGCAATTTGTTCATTCTAAACTTTCAGAAAGTAAACTCGCCAGGCAACAACCTACAGAGGGACGTTACGTATCTCCTTAGGATCTCAGGGCTTAAAATAGTGCACAATCCCTCTAAGCCCAATTTCAAGATGAAAAGGTTTCTTTCAACTATCAAAGGTGATGTCCCCTAGAGAGTCATGCTGTGCTTCTCTTGCCCACTCCTTTGAGAAGCTATATCATGAAACCTCCTATCAGTCACATGAAAAATAACAAATACTCCCCAAAGCTGTATTGACGTCAAAGAGCAAATTTTAAAGGGTCTGTCTAGCATAGCTGAAAGGCTTGCTACAAGCCACGATGTAGGAGCACCCACATCAGACAAGTACAGAAGAATAGCTGGCACCAAAAATAAAGGGAAGAACACAGTAGTAGGCCTAGGGGTGTGGAAGCATGCTGCTTACCAAGGCTCCTGCTTAGGGAACGTGTTTGGAATTATTATAGTCTATGCTCTCTTCACAGTCAACAAGGGCATCAAAACAGGGCTGAAAGGGCATGAAAGTACAAATTAAACACTCAACAATGGTGTATTTATTATAATTTGTATTAATTTTGGCATAAAAAGAGAATTTAGCTGTTTTAAAAAATATAGATTTTTTTTTTTTTTTAAAAAGAGGATTAATTCAGTGTTCATGGGAGACTGAAGTCCTTGATCCACAGAACAGGCACACGTGGGCCAGCTCAGGCCATCTATCCTTCCTTCAACTGACCTGCCAGTGTGCCTCAAGAGTACAGCTGAGTGTGCAGCATGTGTATGTATGGGAAATCTGTGACTATTTATCTGAATTTAAAAATGCATTTTAATTCATCTACCATTTCATGATCACTCTCTGCAAATGTTTGAGTGGTCCAGTGGACCCAATAATTCCTTTCTTTATGTATTTAAAGAATTTTTTGTTATTCGTTTTTATCTTCTTAGAATTTGAAGAGCAATTCTCTATCTAGCCTTCCTGATTCTCATAATATTTTTTTTTTCTGTTTAACATAATTTCAGTTCCTTTCTTTTGGCTTCACTAGGATTGAATTTCATTCTGAAAGGATGCCTATTTGGCTTCAATGACCTCTTGAGGCTTTCCATTTAACCATGCTGACTTTTGTCTTGCCTTCCTGCTTCTTCTCCTGTTCAAGGGTATACATACATAATGTAATTCAGTTATGCCATGCTTACGTTGCTGAGTCTAAGGATTTTAAATTCCTCTTTTTAAAAATTTATTTATTTGTTTTAGGGTCATTTTTTAGTAGCTCCTTCATTTAAAAAAAAAATAATTTGAAATTATTTGGTCTGCTCTACTCAACACATGGGAGTGAGAAGATAGTCCTGCTTACAAGTTCATATACTCTTTGGTCTTTCCACTGAGGCTACCTTCAAGGTTGTCAGTGAAACAGCACCTGCTTACAACAGAGCTTAATTTGAACCAAAGAAGTAAATGAAACCTAATATGCCATCTAGTCCATCCTCCTGCCAGTGCACGATTGATTGCTCCTTACAGTATATTATGCACTTTGTCCTACCTAGTTTTAAATGTCCCAAGCAATTGGGCTTTCATTATTTCTTGAGAGATTAAATCAGTCTAACAGTTCTCTGCATCAGGAGGATTTTTTTTCTGATATTCAGACTAAATTTTCCTTATTTAAATTTCATCCCATTGCTCCTAATGATATTTTTGGATGATAAAATAAGACTCCTGTGACTGGGCCACAGGCCTGGTGTGAATTCTAGCATGAGGCCAACCTGAGTTGCACTGTGTCAGCTGCAGATCAGGTGGTCTCTTTTTTTCTTCTGCCACAGTAGTTAGACTATCACCCTTATTTTAAATTTTGCACATAGTAGAACCAGCTCACATTTATTTGCCTACTGACAGTACAGGCTGAATTTGGTCATATATAAATGCTGAATCACTCACTAGAAGGAGGACCATTCTTCTTAATATCTTTACTTTACAGCAAATATGGATAAAATTAGGATGACTGGAGATGAAAGTTACCAGAAAGGCTCTCAAAGGAAGTAATGCTGTCCCTTTCATCGTGAAATGAACTAATGCACTTCTCTCTCCCCATTTCGCCCAGAGAACAGGTTTCCCATTGATACCAAGTTACACCAAATGGGGGCACATTTTGCATGGGTTGATTTAATGGACAGAAGTTGATTCAAGGCTAGGAAGGTGAAAAATACATAAGGTAAAATTCCAGTTAACAGATTTGTGCTGAAGTTTAAATTCACTAAAATATGAGAAATAGTAATGAGTTTAGTTATAACTTTTATGTAGGAGGCAACGGCATCTGTGCATACAGTGGGTTAGACGAGTATGAGGAAAACTCTTTGCTTGGGGATATTTGTCTTTGCAGGACTAGACTGCACCTAAAAAAATTGTGTGTGAGAGAGGGAGCGTGGTGTGTTCTGTTCATATAATCAAGTTCTGAATGTGTATGTATGCATCTCATATTTCAAAAATGCCTTGTCGGATTACCTTCAAATTTTCCACAGCAACAAAATCTCATCTGGAAGGATACCTGAGAAAGATCAACATTAATGTGTCAATAATTCATATTTGCCAGAGGGTAGAATTAATATTGAGAGAAATATAAGAATATATAAACCAATCTTTAAGCTCAGAAGCAAGGCACACAAGGAGCTTGGTTCAGGTTGACACTTCCCTCCAGAATAATTACCATGCAAAAGCATAGCACTGTCTGGAAAGAGAGCAGCCAGTCCTGAGGAAGTGGTAGGGAGATGCTCATTTGGACATAAGAGGGGTACAGACAAAACAAGAACCTAATTTTTTATCCAAAGCCCCAGTTGCAACAGTGAATGAGTTTGGAAAATATACAATGGATGTGAGAGTCAAACTAACATATCTCTCTTCGGAGATACTGGGGTGTGCTCTGTGTTGGGTGAGGGTGCGGTGCCTGGTGCTATAACCAGTCAAGCATAGCAAAGAAACATGAAAAGTGTAACAGTGCTGTGATCCAACAGGGAAGTGATAAGTGCCTGGAAATCAGGCTGGATCTCAGACATGTTGGTCAAAAGGACAAACCAGGGAGAAGCTCTCTGCAAATGCAAGACGTGGTGTTTTTGCACTGTAACAAACCCATATGGAGGTTAGCTATTAGAACTGGATGAAAAATGCCATTTTTTGTGAGAGAGATACGGAATTGTTTTTGTTAAAATTTTCTGCAATTTTTTTTTTTTGTGGGGGATGGCAATGAAGAAACAGAAGTGAATAATTGAAGTTTTGAAATCTATCAGTAAATAAAAAAAAATTAAATAAACTAAAAATTTTACTAAAATGTTTTTTGTTTGAGAAAAACAAAATTTCATCCATGTTGATGAAAACCCATTTTTTTCATTGCAATTGCTTTTCAACTAAAACATCTGACAAGCTTTCACAGAAGGGTGACCAGACAGCAAATGTGAAAAGTTGGGGGTGGGGGTTAATAGGAGCCTATATAAGAAAAAGACCCAAAAATCAGGACTGTCCCTATAAAATCGAGACATCTGGTCACCCTATTTCACATGCACATATTATTTCTTTCTATTTTTACCTCTTCTGATTTCTTAATACATTTTGTTGAACTACAACAAAGGTGATTCTATACTGTTGTCTGGGTACTGGGTTTCTCATACAGACCAATCCAAAGCAGAGAAATAACCTTCCAGCTCTAAGAACAGGTAATGAAGGAAGAGATTCTGGAACCTATGCCACTTGGGATAGTTTGTCACAAATACAAGGTGTGTTGCGGTCAAAGAGCTGTGGACTTCCTAATGCCTATGGAAGACAAATAAGCTGGCCAAAACATATGGGAAATTTGAGGGAGAATGGGTATCTTTTAGGAATGGTGGGGTGGGAGGAGAGAGCTGTTTCAAAATTAGGCTTATAACACTAGCCATGGAGTTGCCTTTGCAGTGACACTGCATGGTATATACATGCAGTGTCTCTTTCCTTGTGTTTCTGCACCCTATTACTATGGTTTACCACAGTTTTGCTTAAGCCAGAAGGATCACACTTTTATCACCACATATTCTGCACATTGCTTCCCCCTCTCTCCTTTTCCCCCCAAGGTGTTTTGTTTTTGTTTTTCTGTGGTTTTTCTTTTTTTTTTAAACAGCATCTCAGTCTGTTTAGAGCTTCATCCCTTCCACAGACTAAGATCTCTTAAATCCCACAGCTCTTTTAGCGCTTCATCTGTGAAGGCCCCATCTGAACCTAAAGTTTTCCAAGTGCCCCTAGCACGTCCACAGATGAAAACCTACTGGTAAGAATGAGGCAAAGATTAGAGAGGAAAATGAGACGATAAGGGGCTGGCAGATGTTATATATCCATTCCTATTACAATACTTGATACCCATAGAACCATTAACTGACGACAGTAGTAGACTCAAACTTCCTATGTTTTTCAACCACTAGAGGGGAACAGAGAACCACCCTGGGTTAAGAGGGATACATGAACTTGAGGCAGCAGCATGTTTCAGTGCATAGGACCCAGGACTATTCAGGGACTTCCATCAACTCACTGCATGACTTTGAGCACGTCAATGAACCTGTCCGTACCCCATTTTCTCCATCTGTAATTTGGGAATAAAGATTCCTACACACTTTTGTAAAATGCTTGAACTCTATGGGTGAAAATCCCTAAATCAATGTTGAGTATTATTCCTTTGTTATTACTCACCGCCACAATACAGATATTAGTCTCCCATACACAAACTAGCTATCAGTTCAATCCCTTCCTGCAATTTGTTGCTCTTTGTTAAATGCATCTTCCAAAGTTTGAACATATTCATATCCTATTTCTAAGAACACTCTGCCTGCCGTCATTGGAGTCCTCCTACCACTCCTCGATGGGGAAGGTATTGATGGATTTCCCTTTCTGAGATACAGGTTCTGAAACAACACCTACAAATCTTTCTCAAAAGGATTTTGAATAGGAATTCTTTTAAAGGATTTTCAGGTTTATCTGTTGTGCACCCTGAAGGAAATACAGGCTTGATCATCTTGAAACCTTTATGCACAAAAACGGTGCTAAAAATGCATGTGGGAGGCTGAGTGCACTATGTATGTGATCCCTCCCCTCTTGAAATGGTAACACTGGTGAGGGGCACAGGTAGCGGAGGTGAGTAGAGAGCACCGTGGTGTAATGTCCCCTGTTTGGAATCAGACAAACACACACAACCCGGGAGGTCCCAACAAATAGACCTTTACTGTAGTTTACTCAGAGATCACAGTGGACGAACCTTATCTGGATCCAACCTGCACTTCCTAGTGTGGAGTGCTACCAAGTCTCTTAAAGTCACAGTCCACTACAATAACCATACATGGGTAGAAAAAAGGGAGAGAAAGGTCACAAGAGTGACCCTATACATGACAGCTGGTAGCAACCCAGTGGGGAAAAGACACAAACACTGGGTAACCAGGCTTCCACCACTATGGAGCAGATGGCGGTATCTGACAGGGAGGTCAAAAAGATGCAAACAGCTGCCGAAACAATTCCCAGCTCCACAGCAGACAGCCTACAGAGGAGAGACAGGGAGTCTGCCAAGCTGAGCATGTACAAATGTATCCGCCTGAAGACACAAACATCTAAGGCAAAAATACACAGGGCAGGTCACTCACAGCATCCAACATAGTAGATACACACACATTCAGACATAACCAAGCCCCAGGCCAGTTCAAGACAGGAAGGGGAGTAGAGAAGTCTTGTGTGTGCTAAACAGGTCCTGACTGGCTGCTCTTGGAATCCCTGGAATATCTATCTATCCATCTTCTTATTTAGGCATTATACCATGCTTATCAGTGTGGTACCTGAGTGCCTACTCTGATTACTCATGCTTCTAGGACAAGTACTCTGTGTGGGTGGCTGTGCAGGGATTTTGCAGAAATCCTCAGACAGAATAAGGACGGATTAACACTGTGAAACAGTGAAATGAGACAGATTTGGGCCCAATGTGTTTTTTAAAATGTCTTCATTTGTATTACAAACAGCACCATGTGAGCCAATACCAGAAATTCAAATCTATATCACTTTTGAATTTTAGGGAGATTTGGTTTCAATTCCCCAGACCAAACTCACCCTTATAGTTCTGGTTCTAGGTTGGATCCAAAACCAGAAGGAGCCTATTATTGAGTTCAGGTTCAGACCTGGCTGAACTCTTATGGGAAGAGTTTGGCCTCAAATGGCAAAATAATAATTCAAAATATTTTGGTGCTGTTGAATCAGAACCTTTGCCCTGGTTCAACCTCAAACCCAAATCTCAAAGTCTAGCCTTAACTTAATCTCTATCTGGATGTCACCATCACCTCCTCACCCTCTTTCTGTTATTAAGACTGAAATAAAGTTCCAAATGGATCAATTACCATTTTAAGCTGAAAAGCTCTACAGTTATTCAGCCAATTGTTTCAAATATCTCCTGTCTTTCTCTAAGAACAGAAATATCATTGTCAGTTCCGTAAGATTTCACTTCTCTCTTGACAGTTCCGCAGCACCTCTGAGATGACTTTTAATCTTTTTTTTTTAACCTGTCTTTTAAAAAGACAAATAAATAGAATCCTGCCTCCCAACAACATACCTTTGTGCCTAAAATGAGAAGACATAAGCACTGAAGATTTCTCCTACTATCAGTTTCAGATAAAGCCTTTGATGAGAGAAATGTTATCTCTGAAACAGCTCTTTCAACAAAACATTGGTGCAGCATATCTGGTTTAAAATAAGGAAAATCCCTTTTTAGAAAAGGACCTCAACTAAAACTCCAGATCCAAATCTCAGGCCACAATCTGAACTTCCTGGGTTGGATTCTCTGTTCCAGTAAGGGACAAAAAGCAGCCTTAAATCTGATTTCCTTAGGCATGGAACATTCTTCATTGACCAGTAAATCGTCATTGGAGAATTTTCCACACCTAAGGAAATCCTTTGGCAGTGTAAGACTACTATAATAGCTCCTATGCTAACGCTGTCCTCTGTCCTCTCAGCATAGGGTGAGTGCCCAAAGAGGAACATAGCCAGAGTGCCAAATGCAAGAATCTCCATCCACCCATAGTGGACAATTTTTGCATAACTTGGCTGCAGGGGAAGTTTCTTTCTAACCTCTGTCAGGTAGTGGTTGACTTACACTCTGGAAGAAAAAAAAGGTTTATAGCACTTTTTTTTAAACCTATCTACAGAGATACCAAGGGTTGGCTGTCCTTAAGAGTGAGATTTAGGGCCCCAAAGAGTGAGACTTTCCAGGTGTTGTGTTAAGTCATTGCTTAAGACAGGGATTCTCATCTTTGGTCCATGGAGACATCCAATAGTCCAGGTTCTTAATCCAACCAGCACTTAATAGCTTGTTTTAAAATGTACACTTCTTAATATTGCATATGAAACACTTAAATGTCCTAATTCATACTAAAGTCTAGGGCACCTGAGAATTCTATATGCAATGCAAACCAGTGGATTTAAATACCTGTAAAAACAATTATTTGCTGGTTGGAACAAAAACCTGGATGGTTGGAGATCCCTGAGGACATGAATTTGTGG